TTTTTTTTTTTTTTTTTTTTTTTTCTTTTTTCGATATCAGGAATCAAACTTAGGACTTGCACTTGGAAGGCAGGTGCAGTGCCATTGAGCTAAATCCCTGGCTCAGATTTATTTTCTAATTTGGACACAACAGTTGTAATGTCTGACATCTTTTACTTTTATTCCAGCACCATATGAAGGCGGAGTGTGGAAAGTTAGAGTGGATCTTCCTGATAAATACCCTTTCAAGTCTCCATCTATAGGTGGGTAACTACTTAGTTTCTCTCTTTAGAGAAAAAAAACTTTTTGTGAGAGATAATTCCAGAAATGATTACTTAACTAAACCCTCCCCCCACTTTTTAGCTTTATCCACTCCACTGGTAGGGTGGGAGCTTCCCTGATGCGATAGAAGACATTTAAATATACACTTACATGATTATCATTACCGTTACTCTAGAGTTTCCTTTCTTTCATTATCAGATTAGAATCAACCTTTAAAGCCAGCTGTCTATTTGACTATTTTAATCAGTTAAAAAATTAACAAATCCTTAAATCTCATTTTTAATATCAGATTGTTGAAATGAATATTATACAGTAGCCCTTCTGTCATCTAAAAATCTACTCTAGATCTTACTTTGGTTGACTCTAGCTCTGGGAACCTGGCAATAAAATGACCCTTTTCTACACTCTACAACCCCAATCTAGGCTTCTAAACAGTACATAGAAGTACCACAAGAAAGAATAGCAACTTGCTGGATTTATACAAGAGGTGCATTTTCCTTGCCTTCATATTCCTTGTCTTAGTTGGTGACATTATTAATCTGTCACTCCCATTAAGGCACTGAGTGATAGTTTAGTTATTTTAATATCAGAGCTATAAAGGTACATCCAGTTGAAGTTTGACATCTTTTAAAATATTTTGAGATTGTAGAATGGTAGTAATTTGATTAAGTTTAGTCAGCTCTTTTTGGTTCAGTCTATATGTGATTTTAAAATAGTTTAAAATATTGTCAATTTTAAGTAAGAACCATAAAGTAAAATTGAAATATGTTGAGTATTCTGACCATCAGACTGAGTCTCATGTTGAGAATTAGAAAAATTCAGATGTCTTGGTGCCACTTTGGGTTGTCTTAGAACTAATGCCAGATCTCTTGTTTTTTTGTTGTTGTTTTTTGAGACAAGGTCTCTAGTGCAAGCTGGCCTTGAACTCAATATGTCGCCCAGGCTGTCCTCCAACTCATGGCAATCCTGCCTCAGCCTCCTGAGTTCTGGGAGTACAGGCTTGCACCACCACATCTGGCTGGATCTCATGTAGTTTAGACCAAGTCCAGCTGTAAACAAACAAAAAACATTAAAAAAAAAAGAAGCATAGGCCAAAACATTCTAAGGTTTTGCTTTGGTTCCATCTTCTCACATTTTTTTCTTTCTTTCCTTTTTTTTTGGAGGAGGTAGTACCAGGGATTGAACTCTGGACCTTGCGCTGGCAAGGCACGTGACGGCGCTACTGAGCTAAATCCCTGGCCTCATATTTTTTAATAGGGCAAGTAGTACAAAAGAGTTATGATAGTCACAGACTATCCCATTTAAAAGCTAAAACTTGTCCCTGAACATCCGGCTACTATTTTACATGCTTTAGAGTTTTATGCTCTAAAAATAATACAGAACATCTAATTTCTTCTTAGACTGGGAACTCTTTAATTGTCATTTGAACAAGAAGTGGTAATTTGAGTTCCTTGGGTGAGTTTTATAAAGCCTGCAATTGAGAGGATATTTTATGGATACATGAATCAGAAATTTTCTTATTGCCCCAAGGGACTCCAAGCTATGTAGTTAGGATGGAGTTATAAGGTGGTGTTGAGACCTCTTGCAAGTGCATTGAACTTAATACCTGTGTGATTGAGGGCAGCAGCCTTTCTTTGGCTCCATTCCACATTAGTATCACTTATTTTGAGAGGACTTGTTTGTTTGTTTCTTTCTTTTTCTTTTCTTTTTCTTTGGTACCAGGGATTGAACTCAGGACCTTGCACTTGTGAGGCAGGTGGCAGCACCACTAAGCTAAATCCCTGGCCTCAGTACTTCAGTAGGTTCTTTTTTGCCATTTTAAACTTTTACATAGTTGAATGGTATCTTAGTTACTTTTCTCATTGCTGAGACAGTACATCACCCAAAGTTACAGGAGGAAAGGTTTATTTTGGCTAATAGTTTGTAGAGGTTTCAGTCCATAGTCATTTGGCTCCAAAGCAGGGCAGTATGGCGGAGGAGCATCACAGAGGAGAAACAGTTCATGGTGTGGCAGGCAAAAGGCAGCAAGGCAGCAAAGTAGCAAGCCACAGCAACAGCCCTGTTTATTTTTTCTTTTCCTTTTTTTTTTAAATTAAGTTTATTGGTACATTTTAAGTATGCAGTACAGTTATACATTCATCATTGGGAACTTGTACTTTCACATGATGTACCTTGGTTCTTATTTTTTCCCCATTCCCCTGCCCTCCTTCAACCCCTCCAGCCCTCCCTGTTTATAAGACTTTGTTTCCATTTTTTTCTTTTCTCATATTTTTTCCTTTCCCCTTTCCCTCCCATTTCCCCAACCCCTTTAGACCTTTTCTTCCTATTTCATATTATCACTTATACATTCTGATCATTATTACACTTTTAGTTTCTCACACCAGAGAAACTATTCAGTATTTACACATGTGTGTCCTGTTTCACTTAAGAATATGGCCTCCTTGTGCATCCATTTAGCTATAAATGTCTCTAGTTTTTTTGTTATTTATAGCTGAATAGTACTTCATTTTATTAAAAAACCACATCTTTTTTATCCATCTCCAATTGATGGGCAGTTGGGCTGTTCCCAGGCTCTAGCTATTACAAACTGTGCTGCTATAAACATGAATGTGCATGAATCAGCAACAGCCCTGTTTCTGTCCCTTATGTTCCATCCCTAAGGGCAGGTAAGCACTCACACCATTAAGCCCAGCATCACACATATTAGATTCCCACCTCTGAAAAGCCCCACCAGCTGGGTGTGGTGGCACATGCCTGTAATCCCAGCACTCGGGAGGCTGAGGGAGGAGAATCCCTGTGAGTTCGACACCAGCCTGGGCTACATAGTGAGTTCCAGGTCAGTCTCAACTACATAGTGAGACCTTGTCTCAAAAAACTCAAAAAGAAAAGAAAAGCCCCACCTGTGAGGCTTTGGGAAAACATTTAGATGCAATTCACAGCAAGTAGTATGATCTTAAAGCCATTACAGAATCTCTAAACCATATAAATTCATTTATTAAATATATCATAAATACCTTATTTACTTAAAGACTAAAAGTTGGCATGCTGAATCTAGTTTTTCTTAATCCCACATTACTAGTCAGAGGAAATAATAGAGCTTGTTGAAACCAACAGTGAACCTATAGAAAAATGCAATTGGGCTGCTGCTGGGCATGATGACACATGCCTGTAATCCCAGTACTGGCGAGGCTGAGGCAGGAGGATCACAGAGAATTTGAGGCCAGCCTGGGCTACATAACAAGACCCTGCCCCCCACCCAGTTCAAATGTAATTTCTCAAACCTTAACATATTTTTCTAGGTAATATGATTGGTTATTGTAGCTTTCCAAGTAAAAACATCTAAACTGTAAGAACAGTTTTTTTTTTCTTTTCGTAGTGCTATGGACTGAACTCAGGGTTTTGTGCATGCTAAGCAAGTGTTCTACCACTGAACTATACCCCCAGCTCCAAAATATTCTAAACTTTAATAAACTTAATTTAATAAACTTTAATAACTTGCTTATTTACCAACTAACGACACAAGCCTGTGCCCTTTCCTAAATTAATGATGAAGTAGAAATTGATTAGGACAAATAACCAGGCTAATTTAACTTCTTCATAAGCTTTCCTTTGCCTTTCTATGTGCTTTCAGGATTTGGTAGTGTCTACAAATGTGTATCATCTTCCCTTAAGGAAGTAGATCAAGTTGAAATATTTGTACAAGCTGTCCTTGTTTTTTTCCAAAGGAAGATTACATAAGAGAGTTTTAATCAGTTGTGTGGGGTGACCCATTTTCAGGTTGTCAACAATGTAATTACTGTTGCTTAAGCATTTTGAAGGTAGTGGCTTACTTAGTAAAGGCCAGGTTTCTTTTCTGAGTTGTATAGATGTAAAATCGTACAGAAAGAAAGACAAATAAGATAAAGCCAGCCTTGGGTTTTTTTTTAGATCTTACTGCCATTGTATCTGGGCAGGTGTATCATTCTTCTGAGCCATATTTTCGGGTTTTGGATATTAAAATAAGAAGCTGGTGGTATAGCTCAGGAGTAAATCTTTTGCCTAGTGTGTACAAGGTCCTGAATTTAATCCCTAGCATTGCAGGGAAAAAAAAATAAGACATGCAAATTTAAATTAAATATTTTCATGCCTACATCCTGGAATTTTAAAGTATATACCTGTGTATACTTATTTGTTTGATTGTGTGTGTGTGTTTTCTAAAAATGACCTATAGCCATTGAAAGAATGTAAGAAAGTTTCCTAGGTGAGCAAAAATAAAGATAAAAAGGGATGCACAATCCTCTACCTTAATGGTTCATTATGTGCATTATGGTCTGTGAAACACTTCTCTATGTGTATTTAAATATATATTTAATATAATCTGATATGCTCCTCTTTGGGATACTTTGCAAGTACAGTTCTAGATGTTTATTAATTATATACTCTCACACGATATTCTTTTAAAAACCATTTACATCTACACATGAGTTTTTCCCCCTCAAAATAGTGACATAGCTATCCCAATTCCTCTCTGGAAAGAAAAGCAGTGTGAATGGACTCTTGGGAAGTTACTAACTTTCTTCTACTATGCATGCCTTCATTGTTTCAGTTGCTTTAATCTCATCTTTTAGAATTGTACATTTTCTGAATATCATAAGTTGATGGCAAGACTTGATGCTTTATGGTATCTTATTTTTCTTTTCTTTTCTTTTTTTCTTTTTTTTCTTTTTTTTTCCGTTCTGGGAATTGAACTCGGGTCCTTGCGCTTTCAAGGCAGGCGGTGGAACCTCTGAGCTAAATCTCCAGCCCCAAGACTTGATGCTTTGAAGCTAGATGTGAAAGTTTTGTTGTTCTTGTTGTTTGTTTGTTTTTTGATGTGAAGTTTTGAAATGGCCTGTAGGTGCTTTAAGCCCAGATAATAAATACAACATATTCTTTAGAGGCAGTGTTTAATTATTTTCTAAAAGTGATGTGAGTCAATACCTCAGGGCCTCAGTTTAGCAAA